CCCTCCCGGGGAAAGCCGCGTGCCGAATGTTGCCAACCCCTGCTATAATTAAACAACTAGCTTTGCCAATTTGGTAAGTGGGAATGTAGCCAATATTGGGATAGAATTTAATTAGGATAACCGCTTCTTATTGAGTCCAGGGAGCACTAGTTTATTAATTTTAAACAGTAGGTTCTCTTCAGAACAGCACTTACCTTGGACAGAATTCTCAAATCGGGACAGTTGGTGTTCTTGCCTTTATAATCTTGTTGACTGGTTACCAAGAACCACAGAAGTACGTAATCAGCAGTTCTTCAATCCAGTGTAGATTCAACAAATACTCGAGGGCATGCAAGAAATTGTCATAGAACAGTATTGAGGTCAAGCAGTTATAACAGAAAATAAACAATACAAATATCCAACATTTTTTATTGCATTCGCTTATTCCCCATTATCAGTTCTTTATCTCTAATACACTTACCACACTTGAAGTAATTCCCCAAGGAAGAGAGTTGCACTTTGCCTTAAGGCAATCTTAGAAATGTGGTCCCTGCTGTTTTTAATGTTTGATATGAAATGGCCTAGTTTAAAATACTAGAAATAATTGCTTAAAGGTATAGTTTAAAACTCTCTAGGCCAAAGTAGTGTCCTAAGCATGTTTCCCCTTTGTTTAGGGCACTACTTTGTTAAAATCCAAATCCAGTTTTTTGGGGTCTCACTAGAAACAGTGTAGACTTATCAAGAAGTGGGCTGTAGTCCACGAAAGCTTATGCTCTAATAAATTTGTTAGTCTCTAAGGTGCCACAAGTACTCCTGTTCTTCTTTTTGCGGATACAGACTAACACGGCTGCTACTCTGAAACAAGGAACTTTGTTACTTATCTTAAAGAACAAAATATCTGAAATGAAATCTCGCTGCTTTTTCTCAACCTTGTAACCCTGGGAAAGAGGAGGATTTGCCATGTGGCTGGGCCAAGTGTCAGTAGCACGCCTAGATTCTGCCGCTGCTTTTGTGATTTCAGTGAACTCTGGAGTGCCACATGGTGACCCCTTTTTACACCCTGGTTTGAGGGGTTGCTGGAGAGTGGCTGCCCTCTTGATTCTGTTGGATGCTTTCCAAACTGCTTTCAGCTCTGTTTCTCTGCAGATTCTATTGATATCCAGTAGAAGGTGTTGGTGTATAACACATTCCTTCAATCCTTTTCTTGTCTGGAAGGTTCCTATTTTATTCATCTCAAGGACTGTATTTCTGTATTATCCAAATATTAATTGGACTCTCACCCCTCCCTTTTTAATTTTCTTTGTATATTTCAAAGCTATATACCATTTTGGTGCTTATATCTTTGAGTACTCCTTGTGACCTACAACTCCTGTATTTCCAGAATGCAACAATCATTTATAGTTCCTCTAAATTTAGTGGACATAGTAAATTCCTTGATTATATCCAATATCTTCGCATCCTTTGGGGCTACAAGAGACATTATCTTAAAGGAATAAGAGCGAGAGATAGCTGAGTCATAAAACAGTTAAATGCACAGTTTCTAATTTGGCTTGAAAGATTATATTTATATCTGTAAAAATAATGGAGCCCTGTTTGCTCCAAAGATAAATCTTTAAAATTTGTGTGTTTTGTGTGTGTAGGGCAGCATTTTCATATGTGGCTATGGGTGGTCTTATGGCCTTCTGGTTGCGGTGGCAGTTCCGCCTTTATTTTAAATTGTAATCGTTACATTAATACGATAAAATTATCTTCAAAATGAACAAAACTTCTGGAAACCATTATCCTTATGCAGGGAATACTTGCTGTGCAGCATAATCCAAGAATAGCTATTATAGAAACATGAACCGTCTTTTGGGGATGGGAGCAATAAAAATCATCAATTCTATAACTAATATAGACAGGCTAATAACCTATTTCACCATGCAGCTATCTAGTAGGTCGAAAATACTTTGCAAGTATAGCATACGTGTATAACTTGCATAGTGCCATAGGTGTATTTGGTTCTGCCTCCTTACTGTTTTTTTTTATGTTTGTGCTGTACGTTAAAGCTTAATAAAAGTAACAGCAACAAAATGCCATTATTGCCTTTATTAGAGTGCCCATAATAGTGACAAGGCCAGGCATGCCTATGACACTAGTGCTGTGAAATCTTATAAATATGCAATGTGATCCTTTTTGATTAAATGTGGGGGGAGGTGGGCTTCATACAGCTCTAAACTAGCAAGGGTCCTGGTAATGTGAAAGAGGGTGGTTAAATAAAAGATGCTTATGGGGTATGATGGTGGTTGGATATCTGATGTTCATTCATGAGTAACTTCTCTATGGCATATGATACTAACTAAAAACTCGAAGTGCATAAAGACAGTACTGTATACTTGTGTCAGTATTCATAGCTACAAGGAGAGAGAGAGAGAGATTCCATCCCTATGTCATTGAGACTCTTGCCTAGTAAGGACTGACAATAATTCTCATTTAAACATCGCATTTCTTATTCTTGGAGTCAGGGCCGGCTCCAGGCACTAGCCCACCAAGCATGTGCTTGGGGCGGCACCTGGAGGGGGGCGGCGCGGCCTGGCGCTCCGGCCCGAGAGCAGAGCCCCAGCTGGGTTTGCCGCCCTCCCCCCGGCACTCTGGCCGCCGGGGAGAGCCGGAGCCCCGGCCAGGCTTGGCGCCCTCCCCTGCTGTGCTCCCCGCAGGGGTGGGGTGGGGTGGGGGGACTTTTTTGCCTGGGGCGGCAAAAAAGCCAGAGCCGGCCTTGCTTGGAGTGATAAGATTCTTTAGCTAACGTCTCTAAAATATGGATTGTTGGCTGCCTACTCTGACAGGGTGACCAGTGTGCATCTTGTAACCCAGTTCTGTATCCTTGCTGGGATAGGGTGTTTCCTTGATTAAAGGGCAGAGGGAGCTTTGTGACTAATGTATTCAAGGCATATTTGACATCTTTAAACTTTACCCCTTCTGAAATCGTGCGCCACGTTAAATGTGATGTCTTTCTTCTGTATGGCCTTCATCAGTTACTGTAATGGTTAGTGAATGTAAAACATGGTCTTCAATTCTGGACTTTGGTTTGTGCACACATCACCACCACTGAGTAAATGTTGGTTGCTTGCAGTTACATAGGCCTCAATCTAGCTAAACATTCAAATGAGTCTTATTTGGAATCAGTGGGATTGCATTTGCATAACTTTAAGCACATTGCTGCACTAAGGCCATAGTGCAGTGTTTTGGGGCCAGTAGCAGTGGTTATTAATGCTGGTTCCCAACTGACATAGTGTAGACACAATGTTGGTGTGATGTTTTTTGAGTGTACAAGAATTTTTGAAAGGAGGATAGAGTGGGCAGGCCTATTTTGTGCAGAATGATCATCTTTGACTTGTACAATGGGCTTAATTGCTATCCATGAGCCAAGAAATAGCAAACTACCTCCAGGTAGTGTTACCTGAGGATATTTGAACCCAAAACTATGGGTTCAAATAACACAAACTTTTTTTTAGATAGTTTTAGGAAATTGAATGGGGGACACAATGAATGGGGGACACAACACCTCTGATAAATGATTGGTACACAAGATTGCTTTTATTTAAAATGTTTTGTTCGAGTCTAAAGCACACATTTAAAAGAGCAATAGTCTGGGTAACTATATCTGAGGTACTCTAAAGTTTGAGATGGTGTTAAGTGGTCAGCCTTCCTTTTAGCCACTGGGGAGTTGGATGTCAATCGTTTAGCTCATTGACATTTTTTCTCTCTTTAAATTGCACATTTTAACTAATTTTTGTAGAGGTTGCTTAAAGCAAAGCACACGACTTATAGTAACCCCCAATGGGTTAACAATTTTTTAGCCTTAGCAAAAAACTTTTAACTTTACTTATTAGCAAAGTAACTTCTAGCAAGAAACTTATGGTCATAGACACCCAGATCCAAGGTTAGCTATTTATATTTTTTTGTTTTTATTTTTTATTAAAGCAGCTGTTTTGTTTGCTTAGGCAAACATCAAATTATTCCTGACTACATGGTGGTCTTGCTTTCAGGTAATGGTGAGCTGAGTACACAAAATGGCTGCGGTTATGTCAAGTCCAGCTCTCTTGTAACATTAGTGTTAAGTGCTTTTTTGAGGTGTTGAGAACTGATCATTGTGGCATGGTGACATTTTATCTATACTTCCTTCCCGTGACCTAATATTCATGAAACTTCTTCATAGGCATTTCTATGGTTCCTACCACCAAAAAATACCAAGTCTCTGAATTCCTAATGTAAACTTTCCTGACTCTTTTTTTGATCCAGGGAGGATCACATAGGGCTTCAATTTATGAAGACTGGGACCCATTCCGTTTTCGTCACATGATTCCCTTAGAAGCTCTGCAGGTTCGCGCACTGGCAAGTGCAGGTAATGTTGAAATGTATTCATAAGTCTGTTAAAATGCCCATCTCATTGCTTACTATCCAACATATGCTCTTTATAGGAGTTGGGGTTGTATGTGTGTGTGGTGTTTGATTTATATAACAAACAAACAAAGTTCTAAAACTGACTTTGTGTTTCTCCACCTCCCATTTTGTTTCTCTCCTCCTCTTCTGCCTTCTAGTGGGTTGTAAGATTAGAGAAGGCAAAAGCTGTACTTGAAAATTGTGGAAAACTCTCCAAGAAAAAATGAGTTTTGGTTTTCAAAGTTTGAATTTTTTTGTGGACAATACTTTTTGTTTCAGATAACACAAACACTCACTCTGGCCAAAGGCCATGTAACCACTTTGCTGTTGTTACCAGAGAAAATCCTTATGACTAGTTGTATACACTTCAGAGGGGTCTGTTTGCTTCAATAAAGCCTGTGTGGAAGACGATGCAGGTGCAGAACTACATACGCTGTGAAGATGATAAATAAGTTCAGACTTAACAAAACTAGGTGTATAATAGTTGTCTTGGGAATTTAAAAAATCTTTACATTGTGGAGGGTTATGAAAAGTCTTTGACCTTAATGGTTTAATTTTTATTGTCGGGTATGTAACTGTGTGTGACCAAGTGTAGGAGTCATAACCAAGTGCCCTTCTGCTAGGGTTTGTAATCAACTTGTGTTCTAGGATACCTTTTAAATTTAATAAAACTGTTTCTCACAATTAGAGTACTTCTCAATTCTAGTTGAAATTACAACATGATGTGACCGCGTATATAATTAAGTAGTATAACATGGTACAAAATGTTCTCCATATCTCTCTAGATGCAGAGACCAATTCCGTGTGCGAGATTGTTCATGTTAAATCTGAGTCCGAAGGCAGACCAGAGAGAACATTCCACCTCTGCTGTAGGTGAGCGTGCTTCCATGTGTTCTATTGTTGCTGGATTTCTAGATGCTCGTTGTTCTTAAAAGAAATACATGATGATAGCACAAGAGATTTACAACGTTTTCTAGTTCTACTGGCGAAGGATTCTCAAACAGAACAAAGCCATATTTAACCAATACGGAAGCTTTACAGGAATATTAATTTTTTTTCCCTTGCAAATTTGCCCCCAGCTATTGAATTCTATATGCAAATTTGTTTTTAAGGCTGCATGCACTGTCACTGAGCATTTGTCAGAACGCCAGGCAGCTGCTGAAGTGTCCAGTTTGGTCAGTGCTTTCCATGCTGGCAAGGCCTGACTCCCACTGTTAAGGGGCTTCGAACAAAAGTACAGTGCCATGTTAACATGATATAATCTGTATATTTAAAAGGGTTAACCCTTACTTCAGAATTTTGTTTTACCATTTTTAGGTTTTTTTTTTAAATTGATAGAAGTCCCTGCTGGGCTGATATTAAAAATAGTTCAGCCTGCTGTCTAGATGAGATTTGCATGATTTCTGCTCAGTCTGTCCAATGCAAGCACACAATATGAGAGATTACATTAGCTACAATAGGTTTGCCAAATAAGTGAGTAGCTGGCATCAGAGGAAAAGGAAGAAGAGAGAGGTAGACAGTACTTCCGTAATGCAGGATGCTTGTTTCCTTGGACATGGGTTTAAACTTGCACAGATTTAACAAAGCAAGGTGTACATTATAAACTTTGATCTGAAAACTTTATGTTCGAATGACAGGGAAAGGCAGGCAGAGCAATTCACATTTTCTTTCAGTACTGGTGTTGATTTATCTTGCTCTGTCACATACTTGCAGGAATTATGGATCTCTTGTGAGCTTGTGCCCTTAACTTTTTTTTTTTCCTGTTTTCAGTTCCCCAGACCACAGAAAGGATTTTCTGAAGGCTGTGCACTCCATTCTACGTGATAAGCACAGAAGGCAGCTTCTTAAAACTGAAAGTCTGCCCTCATCCCAACAATATGTTCCTTTTGGAGGGAAAAGACTGTGTGCTCTAAAAGGTGCAAGGCCAGCAATGAACAGGGCAGGTACTGTAGGGATGCAGACTTTCAAGATCCCACTGATCCCAGCACCACTGTAGGTCACATCGGAGTTATAATATTTATTACCCATAGATCAGGGTTAGTGTTGCATCTGACCTGCCTTCACATCCCTATAAGAGCCTTAACAAGTGCCTCCATTTATACCACTCTTCACTCAAGGTTCAACATCAGAGCAATGATCCTTCTGGTGTAGGAGGCCCAAATGGGACTCCTTTCAGTTTCAATCAACTGTACGTTTTTTAATCTGCCAAATGGGTTGCAGTTGAATAAAGCTTTGCAGCAAAATTATGTACAGGATTTCTACAGATGACCAGTAGTGGTTTAAAACAAAACCAGCTCCAAAAGTGTCTCTAGCTCATCACCTCAAATCTTCAGCAGGGTTTGAAATTAGTTCTGCTTCATGTATCCTCCATTTCTCCTTTTTCACTTCTATTGGGAGTGGGCATTTGTTTGTCCTCATCAGATCTCAGAGGTGCACTGGATTAAATGGTCTGTCTTAAAATGTGGACTTCATTTTCAGTTGACTTCAGGCAAAACACACTTTTAAAAAAAAATCACAGGGAAAAGCAGTTTCGTGTTTTGGCGAACACTAAATGAAGAAGGGAAGAAACTTGCTTCTAAATATACTTTTTCTGCTCATTAGATCCAGATAACCAGGCTTTCTGTTCCTCCTCTGTAACAAGCAAGCCACACCAATAACATTCACAGCATGGCCTCTCTCAGAGGCTAGGGAAGGTTTTCACACATTTAAGATTCAAAGGCAGCCCAAAAGGTATCTAATTTGTACCACAGTGCTTCAATCATCCCATGAGGCTCCATATGCTTGAAATGTCAGAATCTTCTTTTAGGTGGGTTTGTCTAGTCATTTGCATGGTGGATGCAGTGTGGGTAAACCCCCTGCGTGCCCCACCCCAGCCTAGCTGGGCCCTTACTTGTAAATTTTTTTAACCCTAAATGCTGAGCTGATATACTTGTGTTTTCGGGCTTAGGATAATGATTCTTTCCCCAAAGATGAATGCGTTTAATAGATGTGTTCTGAAGGTGCTGTCCGTGAGGGGACAAACAACCACCTCTGAATCTCAACAGCCTACAGTGGAGCTATTGTGTGCACAGAACACTGACATTTCTGCAGATCCTTCAGCTGGAGAATTCATCCTTTGCTTTGTCTGACAAGCCTCATATGAAGATATTTCAACATGGAAGATGCCAAAATGCTATCTGAACCAGTCACAAAACTAGCAGACAGGTCTGATGCTGAAGATGGAATTTATGAAAGCAAAAGCCAGAAAATAACCCAGCAATGATGGGGCACTTGCACCTACATAAAGATTAGGCAGCAACTCCAGTGTCTCCCAGCTCCGTCTAACTTGGAATGATTCTACATCATTCCTGTGGAGGCACCACAATATTTCCTTGTCAGTTTTGGGACAAGCTGGGTTATTGCAGTCTGTTAACAGCAGGGCACGGCTGGTGAGAAGCTTAGCTCTACTCACGCTTTTTCATGCTGGCTGCCTGCCTGCCACCCACTTAGGAGGAACAGTAATTGTGGCCCATTATCTCAATTTTTGGATCTAAGAAGCAGAAACTTTTTACAGCTGGCAAAAAAATACCTGTTTCCATGAGAAGCTAAGTAAAGCATAACTTATGCATGCATATTGATAGGGAGGAGTAGGTCGTGCTGGGAAATCCTGATAGCTGGTGCCAAGGGATGTTAGGAAAGGGCAGTTGGAAGACTAGTTTTTAGATACATTTTTACCTTGTGTAAAGCATGTGGGATTTTATCTTTTGTGTGTGTGCAGTGTCTGCCCCAAGCAAGTCTCTTGGGAGGAGGAGGCGGCGGCTGGCCCGAAACAGGTTTACCATTGACTCGGATGCTGTCTTCGAAAGCAGCCCTGATAAAGAATCCCAGCAGCCCACAGCCAGTGGGGACACTGACCGCTGGGTAGAGGAACAGTTTGACCTTGCTCAGTATGAGGAGCAGGAGGACATCAAAGAAACAGACATCCTCAGCGATGACGACGAGTACTGTGAGTCTACGAAAAGCACCACAGTTGACAGAGAACTTCAGGAGCAGTTGCAGGCTGCTTCCATTACAAGCAGCCAGTCACGTCGGGCAGAGAAAGCACGGCATGTAATGGGCACGCATGCTGCCAGAATGACTCAGTTGAAGAAGCAAGCTGCACTCTCTGGGATCAATGGCGGGGTGGAAAGTAATAGTGAAGAAGTCATCTGGGTTAGGCGTGAAGACTTTGTACCTAGCAGAAAACTGAACACTGAGCTCTAAACCTGTCACTTTCTCATTAGATGGTCTGTGTAGATATCTCCCCTCTTCCCCCCAAATACATGCAGTGGAGCATGATCCCTTAGCTTGCACACACAGTTTTGGCAGCTGAACCGCTCTGAAACTGCAGCCACATTTTAGGAACTTTAAAAGGCGGGCGGGGAGTGTAAAATTTGAAATAAGCTGGAGTCCTATCTGTATATTACTAAGGGCTTTTAAACTTTTATTTATTCTAAAATGGGATACGTAATATCACTGGAGAAAAGTTACTGTCGGCATCTTACGTATGTGCAACTTAAGTGATAGCACAATGAACAAAGAGGTTTTTGTATCTGTGAAATGTCAATCAGAGGCTCATCTCCTTAATGAGGAAACTGCCTTTCTAATCTGTACAGCTGCGGTGTTCTTAATCTTTTCCCTCTTAAAAGACTATACATGTATTTTAGGAGTGTGTGAGGAAAGGTTGGGATTTATGTTGTGCTGCGTTCTCTTGGTGTGTCTGGTCTAACTTATTTTCAGTGTTGGAAGCTCTAATTTTACATAACATTTTATAAAGTTGCCAAACTCTTGAAAGCGATCCAAATTTAACACTTGAAATTTTTTTTTGTACTTTTTACCTGAGATGCAGAGGCACAAATGGGTAAGAATGTTAGTGTTACTTAGGATAGGAGGCTAGCCTTTTTTGCAGAGGGTTCAGTAGGCTAGTTTTTATATTATATTAAAATATCAACTGGAAACTCCTGCTTAGGGATAACTGGAATTCAGTTATGTTACAAATAATGTGACTGAATTACAAAGAGGGCTAAATTAATCCACGACTTCAGTGGAGTCATATCAGGGATGAATTTGGCCCATTATGACTGACAACATTTGGGTTTAGGGGAGGGGGGGAATTTATGGCCAAAAAACTGACCTCATCCAACTCTTAGTGTGGATGAAACTAGTGTATATATAAATTCCTTTGTAAAGGCTTTTTCCACTGCAATACACTATGAACAAAGTTCTAAATAAGCAAACCTCTCAAACCTTTTTATTTAAATATCTAAAACAGGGTAAAAAATCTAGTGTTTTTAACGTAGACTTCCAAATATAAAAAAAGAGAAAATATAGCACTTTTAATTTTTTTAGATTTATATAGCTTTCCCATTTCACTTTCCACCTACAAAAGAGGAAGATAATGACATTTTCTTTGTATCTATTGATGTTTGACACATTGGTGGATACTTTGAAACCTGGTATTTTATAAATAGCTTTAGGACTATATTTTATAAGATCAGCTGTGACTATATTTTGAAACATAACAAATTGTTCCCCCCCAAAACATCAAATGTCTTGTGTCCCAGCCAGCATTCCTTCCCCACCCCTCTCCCCGCCACCAGCTGGTTACCAGTGCACTATAGTCTTTTGAATGTTTTCTTGTATCTGCTTTTGCTATCTTCTGATTTTTCTTTTCCTAAAAGCTTTAGAACGATTTCTATACCCTTTTATCATCACTTCATTGTTCTATATCATCTAAAGTCCATTGTGTCCCAATTTAGTAGAAAAGCAGAGGTTGTAGTTGTCCTACTGGAATACAGACAGTTGGGAAAGACTGGAAAGTCTGGTGCTTGGGAGGGTGCCATTGTTCTTGTACATAATGTCATGACATGTCTATGTCAAAGGTTCTTGTATATTTCTTTTATAAGCTGAAAGAAGGTCTATTTTTATGTTTTTAGGTCTATGAATGGAACGTTGTAAATGCCTGTCAAACAATAAAATACTGAAAACATCTGAATAGTGTTGTGGTGGTGAAGAGTGGGGTGTGAATGCACCAAGGACATCTCTGTCACTTCTGCCGTGATCAAAAAGAGCAAGCTGTAACCAAAATCCAATAAATGGATTTCAGCTGTTCAGGGCTGCTTAATACTACTCCAGTGACCTGTAACGGTTTGGCTGGGCAAAAGTTTTTAGATTTTTCTAATCAGTTATTTTTAAAAAATATATTTAAATTTTCAGTTGTGGGAACTTATGGGGGAGGAGAGTTGCACAAGAATTATTTAAGAATCAGTTATTTTATAGACATTAAAACATAAAATATATAAAGTACTAACCTTAAATCACACTCTAAGTTCAAGCAGCATCACTGCCTAACTGTAAACTTCACTTGTTGATGGAAATCTCTTTTTTCAACAATTGATGTGTACAGTGAAATTGAGGTTTAGTGTCATGCTGATAAACATCCAAGCCCATTATAGTATATCCTCCAACTTTGCTCCTTACAAAGGTGTATGTGCTCAATTTTATGAAGATCCTGGTTCAATTTCACAAACAATTTTTCTTTGTACAAAGAAGGGGGTAGTTGGTTAGATTATTATTTGGACAACAGCTCCCTTCCACACCCCGCACTGAGGTGGAATTCACCCCTGTGCAGATGACCAGCACAAAGCTTGTGCATATTTACATCACACTTACACCCAATTTGATGAGTTAGTACAGTTGTAAATTAGAACAAAGAGGAAAAACCTTTCCTGGTATGAAATTCCTACTAAAGCCAAATTCAAAGGATCTTTTAATTAGTTAACTTCCCCTCCCTCCCCCCCAAATTGGATCTACTTCTGATCAAATGTATGTGTTCAAACATTCCACATTAGTTGGTTTCACAGTTGTACCATTTGACCCAAATGTGTCACCTAGTGGTGTGTGTGTGTGTGTGTATTTGAATTGGATTGTGATTCTATGCCCTGTCTAAGGGTGGCCTCACTTTCCTGAAATGTTCATTTTCCTATGTTAATTTTCCTTGGTCTGTTCTTGACCGATTAGTCCCTGTTATCTCTCATACCCTCAACCTGGTCTGTCTCTCTCTCACCCCCACACTTTGAGTAGATCCACAACTGCAATTAAAAACCTGCAGCTGGCCTGTGCCAGCTGACTTAGGCCAGGGCTGTTTAAATTGCTGTGTGGAGGATCAGGCTTGGGTTGCAGCCTGATCTGTGGGACCCTCCCACCTCACATGGTCCCAGGCTGTAGCCTGAGTCAGGCAGCACAGGCTAGCTGCAGGTTTTTAACTGAAGTCTAGACACACCCTCTGAGTCCCAGCTGGACACTAAAGTCAGTGTCTTACTACTTGATGCTGTTTTCTCCACTCTTGGCCAATTGAGCTTGTGGCTATTGCGTTTGTTTCTCTGGTAGACCAGATTATACCTTTTAAACAAAAAGCCACATTGCCTGTGCAAGATAATCAATTACAGAGCTTGAAATAATGCAAGGAGGTAGATATGTTTCACCATAAAAGCGCATACATGCTTCTAGCTTAATCTTTAAAACGTGCAGTAGCATTTGTGGAAAGGATAAGTGTAGCTACCGCCACTACCACCCCCCATCTCCACAAGTCTAATATGCCCCAGGAATGGTGTGATGCTCTTAGAAAAAGTAGTATGCAGTTAGGATCAAATACCAGACCTTAGCTTGCCACATTATCCAGTATGGATAGCAGGAGGTAACTTCTACACTGTACTGTGCCAGTTAGTGACCTGACAAGTGGAGTTCAAAGTGCAGAGATGGAAGCTGTGATGTTTAAATTCACCAAGCACGTCTGGAAACACTTGCCATTTGTGCAGGAGATGAGCTCATTCTGTACCTCGATCACCCCTGCTATGTTCAAAGGGCATCTCCATACACTTCTTCCCTTGTCTAGATATAAAGTTGTTTCTGCTTTAATCATTGGGTGTACGACTAGCCTACATCTTAGTACTGGCTTCAGTCTCTTAAGTAACAACTTCTGAGTCTTGTCACGCTTTATTGCTGGAAAATGTACGGCTTTATTTTAGCTCCTGCTGGATAAGAATTGTGGGTGATTTTTTTTTTAAAGCTTTTCTTTAAAAGCAAACACTTTTCCTCTTGCCCCCTATGAATTTTTTTAAAGCTATAAAATAACTTGGTTTATTGTTGTATGGACTCATCAAGTGGGTGACATAACCACCCCGAAGTTATGCAAAGGAGTAGGAAACCCTGCAATGTTTGGTAATGAATGGCTTGCATGCAGTGCCTGAGTTCACAAGTGGAGGTCCTGCTAAACCAAATGTTGTTTAAAAATGATCATTACCACCCCTGCACAGGCTGGCTTTCATAGAATAGAATATCAGGGTTGGAAGGGACCTCAGGAGGTATCTAGTCCAGCCCCCTGCTCAAGGCAGGACCAATCCCCAACTAAATCATCCCAGCCAGGGCTTTGTCAAGCCGGGCCTTAAAAACCTCTGAGCACTTGGCTACACTTGCAGCTGTACAGCGCTGTGAGGTAAACCTGTCTTCGTACAGCTGAGTAGGGAAAAGCGCTGCAGTCTGTCCACACTGCCAGCTGCCAGCGCAGTGGTGTGGCCACACTTGTAACATTTGCAGCTGTGTTGGGAGCGGTGCATTATGGGCAGCTATCCCAGCATTCATGTGGCTGCAACGTGCTTTTCAAAACGTGTGGAGTGTGACAGGGAGTGTGGGGGGAGAGAGAGTGCTTTTTGGAGTGTGTCAGCACTCTATTTTGCAAGTTCCGAACTCCCGGCCCCCTCCTCGTTCATTCCGCTCACTCAAAGCAAACAGCAAACTGTTTGCTTTTTCTCTGTGGTACAAGCTTTGAAACCGGCACTTCCGCATTCCTGCAGCCTGGCACAACAATGGAGAGGATTGGCCATTTGACAAGGTGATTAGTACAGCACTGCAGGTTGATTCCTGGTACACACAGGGCAGAGTCGTAGCTACTCCAAAGTATCTCTTATGCTTCTCGGGGAGGCGGAGTACCTGCAGCAGTGTACCCAGGGAGATACAGCGCTGTGTGTGCCTTGCCAGTGTAGCCAGTCAGTGAGTTACAGCGCTGCGGGCGGCTTTACAGCGCTGTAACTCGCAAGTGTAGCCAAGGCCTAAGAAAGGAGATTCCACCACCTCCCTAGGTAACCCATTCCAGTGTTTCACCACTCTCCTAGTGACAAAGTTTTTCCTAATATGCAACCTAAACCTCCCCCACTGCAACTTGAGACCATTACTCCTTGTTCTGTCATCTGGTACCACTGAGAACAGTCTAGATCCATCCTCTTTAGAACCCCCTTTCTGGTAGTTGAAAGCAGCTATCAAATCCCCCCTGATTCTTCTCTTCTGCAGACTAAACAATCCCAGTTCCCTCAGCCTCTCCTCATAAGTCATGTGCTCCAGACCCCTAATCATTTTTGTTGTCCTCTGCTGGACTCTTTCCACTTTTTCCACATCTTTCTTGTAGCGTGGAGCCCAAAACTGGACACAGTACTCCATCTGAGGCCTCACCAACGTCGAATAGAGGGGAATGATCACGTCCCTCGATCTGCTGGCAATGCCCTACTTATACAGCTCAAAATGCCATTAGCCTTCTTGGCAATAAGGGCACACTGTCGACTCATATCCAGCTTCTCGTCCACTGTAACCCCGAGGTCCTTTTCTGCAGCAGTGCATGGGATTCTTCTGTCCTAAGTGCAGAACTCTGCACATGTCCTTGTTGAACTTCATCAGGTTTCTTTTGGCCCAATCCTCTAATTTGTCTAGGTCCCTCTGTATCCTAGCCCTACCCTCCAGCGTATCTACCACTCCTCCCAGTTTAGTGTCATCTGCAGACTTGCTGAGAGTGCAGTCCACACCATCCTCCAGATCATTAATGAAGATATTGAATAAAACCGGCCCCAGGACCAACCCTTGGGGCACTCCGCTTGATACCGGCTGCCAACTAGACATTGAGTCGTTGATCACTATCCGTTGAGCCCGACGATCTAGCCAGCTTTCTAACCACCTTATAGTCCATTCATCCAGCCCATACTTCTTTAACTTGCCGGCAAGAATACTGTGGGCTTGTGTAGCACCCAGAACAATGGGATCCTGGTCCTGTTTAGGGCCCATGAGTTCTGCAGTAATATAAATATAAATGCCATTAAGAAAAGGAGGTGAGGGCTTTGGGAAGTGCCCTTCAAACAGTGTTGGGATATATTTGCTGGATAAAGTAAACCCTCCAGCTGCAATCAGCCATCCCCCCCCCCCCCCCCATGCAGCAGTGCAGGCAGGGGAGGTTCGAGGCCTCATCTTCCCAGAAGCCTCCTTGACCTAGGACCCCCAACTGCCACATGAGCCTCTATAGTGTGTATTGGGGGGCGGGGGGGGGGAGAAATTCTGGGTGAGCTACAGGAAACAAGCGATTGAGGTAGGGTAGATAAATGACTTGGGTGTTGGCGGTCTTATAACGGTGCTTGGGGGCAGGAGTGAAGAGGGAGGTTGGGGGTCAGGCTGGTGGGCATTGGCAAGGTGATGCATGGGGGCATTGTGCAGTGGGGGGTTGGAGTATGTTTATTGGAGGCTGGAGTGGTTTAAGCAGCAGCTGACCAGTGATGCTAGCAGCCCCAGCTGGCTGGGTGTGGCTTCCTCTTCCACCACTCCCATCCTCTTTTCCTGCACTGGCACCACCTCCACTTGCAAACACCAGGGAGAGACGGACTTGCTGTAGCTACACCAGGGATGGGACTGGCAAGACACGACCCCTAGCATCAAGCAGGGCCCTGCAGACTGATCCTGTGGCCCAGTGACTCAGCAGCCCTAGTTCCCCACAGCCTAGTGCGGCATCTCCCAGGACAAAAGTGCTGCTAATGGGAGAAGTGCCAGACCATGTGTCCACCCTGGACACCAGGTGCCAGAGCTGCTCCTGTATCACTCCACCTTAACCTATACACTCATTTAATCAGAGATTATCCTATGATGAAGGCTTCTCATATAACCTGCATTCTGCCATTTCCTGAG